TTAGTTATAGTCTACTGTGAGTACATGCTCTTTCCTTCAGCACTTATTTATGTTTGGACTATATATTCACATTATTTGAGATTAATATACTCTACCACAAGTCTAAAAATCACATGAGTAAAGAGAATGAATATGACTTTTTTTCTACATTTTAATCCCCAATCAATAAGAAGGATGTACTTAGAATTCAGTAAATAATTAAACTTCTAGTGCATTGACTAATTTATTGAATACCTGTTATATTTTGGGCAATGTGCAAATGTAATTTTAATCTATCATATCAGCTAATTCTTGTAAGCCAATAAATAAAGCACAATCATCTTCAATTTTCTAATAATGAAACTGAAGCCTAAAGGTTTTAACTTTCCTGAGACTTCTCACCCTATAACTGCAAGAAACAGAATTTAAAACCTCAACATATCTAACTGTAAAGCTCTTGCCCTTAAATATTATTTGTAAACTACATGAGACAGTCTACCAATCTATAGTTAATAGTGTGCCTCATTCAGGATCCTAACAGAAATTAAGGATAATTATAGAAGAGTTTATGTAGGAACTCTTTACAAAAGTGTGGGAGTACATGGGAAGAAAAGACTAGTGTTTAACAACAATCATGCTCTTTCTCCACCTAAACCAGAGGGATGCAGGGAAGGAGTAATTAGTGGGTTCTAAAGAAAAGGCTGCAAAGTTTCCAACCTTTACAAGAAGAGTGTCTTTATGTGTAGAGACCAAACCAATCTGAAACAACTGTATAGGGATATAGATTTGATTAATTTAATCTCTTTTTAAAATATTTTTATTTATTATTTTTATTTTATGTGTATGAGTGTTATGCCTACATGTAGGTAAGTACACTCATGTTGTGCAATGCCCATGGAGGACAGAAGAGGCTGTGGGATCCCCTGGAACTAGAGTTATGGGCAGTTGTTAGCTGCCATGTGGGTGCTAGAATTTGAACCTGGGTCTTCTACAAGAACAGTCTGTGTTCTTAACCGCTGAGTCATCTCTCCAGCCCCTGAATTTAATCTTTGATCTCATTTTGATTTCTTCCCAAGAATCCTCAAGACAGAAGCCAAAGATTAAGGAAACCTATTAACATCAAACACATTATCTTCCAAGGCAAAGAGAAGGTTAGAAAATGCTGAGAGCAGACTCAGAGGGGCAAATAAATGATGGCCAGCACAGACTCTTTATATGTGCCAGGATGACAGTGACTCCACAGACTCCTTAAGTAAGTATGCTTCCTACCCTCAGAAACAAGCCTTGTTCCCCTCTTGACCAAAAGGAAAGCCACCAGCAAAGAAGCATGGCGAGATGTCCATGTGTGTTGCACTCTAAAAAATTAGAAGTTTATAAAGCAAACCATGCCTATGAACTATATTTCTTACACATTTCTAAACAGCTAAACAACTAGAATTGAAATATAAAAAGAAGAGTTACTTCTTAAAGGAACTGAAGAGAGAAGCTAGAGAGAAAGTGGAATTCTATGAAATTGCCTGAGGAAAATTTACTTTAATCTCATCAACTCAATCTGGTAATTATAACAGAATTAGGATATTTACTGGACTTGCCCTAAGAAAACAAATATATCCCAAACTATACAAATGTAATATCAGATATTATGTTTGTATCATCAAAATAATCATGGTTTTGAAGGTTTAAAAATTGATTCCATAAAAAAAATGAGTCTTCCAGAAGCAGTTAATCAGGTGGAGGCAGATGGGATAAAAACACTGGGCAAACTCTCGCGGGCATCCATGGGCAACCCAGACACTGCACACCACTGGGCAGCTGGCGAAGTCCCATCCACTCTGGTGGTGATGGTACATCACTTGTACCAACGTAGCGCTGGGATCCCCAGGAGCAAAGTGAGCACCAGAAACTCTCCAGCACTGACCCAGGACACTAAACTTCAGGAAAGGAATCTGATCTGCTGAAGCTAGCCTTAAATCAAAAAGAAGACCAGGTGTCATGAGATCTCACTTCTCAAAGAAAAGTCCTGCTAATATTCTTTACAAGACAGTCATCTGTGCCACCTTGCAGTTTTTGATTGGAACCACTCTCATCCTGACCAGATGTTTTCTGCTGACGGGTTACCTCAGTCACATGGGGGCCAGCCGAGCCATTGCCGTCCTGATTGTGGGTGTCCTGATGTTTGTGCCAGGGTTTTACCACCTGGTCATCATCTACAGAGCTTGCAGCAGCTGCCAGAACTACTGTTGTAGTGACCTTCCAGACTATGAGGACTAATCCTGCCACAGCTAGGAGGAGGAGGGCTCCAAGTGGAATCGAACAAAGCTGCAAGGCATTGGCAGAAGCTGTAGAAAACTACAGCAGGAATTAAGGAATTCAGCAACTTCACTGATGATAAATAAAATTAGGGACTATAGTTTATACGTGCATTACAAAAGTTTTGTATGAATTTACAGCTAGCCAAATGTGAAACTATGTCTCTTTTAATCATCTGGCACTCTCAAAAGTTCCTGTTAAAATTTCTACATGAATATGTATAGTCAAAGGACAGCATGAAAACTTAAATCTGTGTAGCAGTGTTGGGTCATGTAGTCTTCATTGACAATTTTACTTTGTGACAATAGAAAAAAGCTACTGTCTAATCTTGTGTTATCCATTTATTTTTAAATCTATGATTTTCTCCTATATGTATTTCTGACTTTATTCTATGAATGACTTAATAAAATCAGATATCAATTTAGAAAACAATAACAGCACTATTGTTTTGGGGCGTTTTTTTGTTTGGTTTTTTTTTGGTGCAGGAATTCTATGGCTTTCAGATTCAGAACCAAATTGATTTAAATCCAAGATGCAAATTTGCTTTCTGGGTAACTTTGAAAGATTACCTTAACACTGGGAGACGTTTTGGGGGCATAATTCCTACTATTTGATATTCTAGTAAGCAGCCAACATACCCTACAGCAATGGCATGACACATTCAAGGAAAAGTTAATCTCTCTCTCTCTCTCTCTCTCTCTCTGTATAATAGACTTCTATAGAAGACCACACATTAAAATTAACTATAGTGATAGTAAAAAAAAAAAAAAAAAGAGTTAATAAGTTTGGATTCGATTTTCGCAAGACCTAAGTACTCATGTAAAACTAGTTCCCTAATCAAATACCTCAAGTCTTAGGACTTGAGCTACCTACTTGTCAAGCTCTGACATGGACAAAAACAGCCATGGAGTTCTCTGTTTGCCATTATTCTAGCTGAGCTCTCTGTTAACTAAAGTCAGTGCAGACATTTTCTTCTTTACAAATAACCACCTGACAAATATGCTCTGAAAATGAACATCCAAGACATATCTCAAAAGGAGAGCTCCCTCTCCCCAACCCCCCACCAAAGTATAGAGAGCAGTAAGTTTCCCCAGCTCAGTCCATGGAGCTGACAGGGTACTCTGAATTGTTGGTGAAATAATTGAGAGGTAGGCATAGAAAACAATGCCAAGCGTCCTCTCCCATATGCATCATCTCTCTGCACCTTTGCGATATACTCTAATGTGTTCATCATTACCCCATGTTACTGCAGAGGAAGAAAAGCCTAGGAAGTCCTAGAGCAAGGATTAGAGTCCTAAAACCAGTAAAAAAATACCTGAACCCAGGTCTACCTGACCCCTGTTCTGTGAACTGTTCAACTTTACCACCATCTTCCATTTGTATAAGACAATATTCCCACAGATACAATTTTAAGAAGGAGAACCTTGCCTCCCTGAGCAGCTCTCAGCAGCTGTCCTAGCATAACATGGAATCTCGAATTAATCATTCCAAACAAGAATATACAAACGAAATAAATTTTGGACCGTGGTCCATCCCTGGGATGACGCATCCCCATTTCTGTGATGACAAGGCACAAACCAGGTGGGTATTTCCCAGAAGACCTTCAGAAAGGGAGAACGATAGGGAGGTCTTTAATCCCCCTATTAGTAACTAAAAAGCAAAGGAAGTTTATGGATTAGTTTGACTCTTTACTTTTGCAAGAAAGATGAAAATAAAGAAATCAGTAATTGTAGCTTCATTTTCCTGACTAAAGAATAAAATCACCTGACGAAAGAACCATGAAACTAGGTTCAACCTCCGATGTTTGATTTCTAGAGCTTTTCCAGACCTTTACTAGTGGTGATGCGCCAAGAACAAAAGCATCGCTAACGCCACATGATTGGAAGGGCTGTTTCTAGCTTTGGAACGCTTCGAGTCTCTAATTAACATTCTATTGTTGTTAAGGAAAGTCAATTAGGAAAAACATTCCAATTTTAATTAAGCACATAATAAGCAGGCTCAAAACCCATCTTAATTTGGTGTCACAATAAACAGGGTTTTTTAATCAAGGCTGGAAAATGAAACTGAGTTTGATTCAAGTGGCTTCATGAAATGATGCTACTGAAAGTTTCCTGGGAGGGGACGACCACAGAGATAAAGAAAATAAAAATGGCAGGCAAAGGGAGGGGGAAGATCCCTCTCCCTGCCTCTACCTCAGGCACAGCCTTTCCAGATCCACCTGTCCTGTTCACAAACAAAAATGATTGCTCTCCAAGAGGGCTTTCTCAAAGACCCTCCTGACCTTTGCCTGTGACATGAGCAGCAGTGTGAGGGAAGCTCTTTAACTCATATTTAGCCTTGGTTTTAAAGGCAGGTTGACTTAAAACAACAAGGATGACTGTGATTTGGCTAAATAGAGAGATTAAACAGTAGGTGTGGAGATACCACTGGATACCGAAGGCCCCCGTATCCTTAGAATGAGTTCAGGATGTGAGTGGTTCGCATACTCTGGGGCCCCACAGATTATATTCAGAGCACGAGTATCTTCTTTTGATACACAACCCTCTGAAATCAACTCAGGAGCAGCACCTGACACTCAATGAACACATCATGTACACATCATGCTGTACACATCAATGTACACATCATGGAAAACCATGAACTATATGGAAGTGATTGAAGGAAGGAATCACTTCCATCACATAGAGCTGGCCCTGGGCCATAAGCTGTACCTGCAAAAAGAACCATTCCAAAACACCAGCCGGTATTTCTCAGGACACAGCCCCTCAGTATTATCTTCTGGTTGCTGAGGGTGTGCTTACTCTCCTTCCAAGAAAGGACTCCAGTGAATTTATCTAATTTGTTGTTAGGCGCCTCGCAGACCACGATCCCTAGAAAATAAAAATCAAACCTCTTTAGACTCCTCACAAACTGACTTTAGAAGCCCATAGTCCTGCTTTACCGCGCTTTTAAAAAGTGTGCTGTTATGCATACATTACTGTGCCGGGATGCACCAACACAGAAGCCCACCAAACACGTATTGAAACATGATTTTCTGTACCATCCAAATAAGAACAGAGACCACAGACTATTGCAAGTTTTGTTCTTAAAAATAATTTTTTTAAATCACTTATCTTTACTTCCAGCTTGTAGCAAGTGACTTTTGCAAGTATAAAATGATAACTGTCCACATTTTTCTTTTAAAGTGAACTATTGCACATGGTGAGATAGCATACTCCATTTTACAACAAAAGTTAATCAGCTTTCTAGGCTCATAATAAGGATTAACGGGGGCAGGGGGTGCCTAGCATACCACACCCCAAAGAAACCTGGGCCTTGTTTGCCCATGTGCTTGAAATGCATGCGATTCTTTTCAGCTGTTCTGTGCCTCTTATCTTGATTAGATTCGGAGTTCTGGGGACTCTCAAAGGCACCACATAACTTGCCCCAACTAGCCAGAAGATGTTTCTAGTTTTTTTCTTAATTCCAAGCTCATTCAAAGCCAACAGCATGCCCATTCCAAATCAATGAATCGACCCAGTCTATCCATAATTTCAAACAGAATATACACATTTAGGGTGGGAGCTGCCTAGATAGAAAAAGAAAAGAAAAATAATCTTTTATGGAACCGTTCACAAAATCTGACTGTTCGATTGATTTGCATCACAAACAAATGGGGCTATATTTTATAAGCAACGTGTAAACAGAAAGGCATGAAAGAACACATGGAAAAAGAAGGGAGAGAAGAAGGGACGGTGACAGGGAAAGAGCGATGGAAAGGAGTCATAAGTTGTAAAATTTGCTGTCTTAGAGGTAGTAAAATTCATTTTAAGATCAGAATCCCAAAAGGCAGTTTGGGAATTAAAGGGGGAGCGAGCGTATCTCTAGCACCAGTGGCAGGAAACCAGCTAAGACAGGAATTCTATGTGATTCTATCTTGGTCAGCTCTTCATCGCTGTCATAAAAACCTGAGACATAAAATGGTTTGGGTTCACAGCTTTGGAGATCTCCAGCCACAACCAAGAGGCCCAGATACTTTGGTCTATGGTGGCACACATCGTAGAAGTGAGTGATGGAGCAAAGCCATTTGGCTCATGGCTGGAGCAAGAAAGAAAAATAAGAAAAGGGTCTTATAATCCCCATCAAGGGCACACTGCTAGTAACCTAAAAACCTCCCACTATGTCACACATCTTAAAGTTTCTACCACCTCCCAATGGTGCTGAGCTGGACACTAAGTCTTTACATGAGATGTGATATTTAAGGTCTGAACTGCAGTAGATGCTGGCCCCATCTTCTCTCCACGTCAACTTCTGAAACTAAAGAGACTTCTTACATGGGTTCCCTTTCTTCCCAGAATGCTAAGTTTTCCTTTTAAAGCCCATAGTTGTAATAGCAGTTGTATTTCAAGTGGTCTGATCACTCCTGACCAACCAGGGTGTTCACATTTAAAAATCAAAGACAAAACACTGGGACAAATAAGAGACAGCCTCAGGACTTCTCTGACCTTTTTTCCACCATTTCCTAACACACCAAAATTCTGGCCTAAAGAACCCTATTCCGTCACTCACTGGGGCTTCCCAGACATCCCCTGCTAAATGAGAGGCAGCTAGCAGGGGATTTCAATGAGACAAATAACCTGGACAAGGTCATTTCTTAGACCAAGTAGCTGGACTGTGGTTAGCTCCCATTATAACTTATTTACTTATTAAAAAGTATTTTAAAACTGATTTCAACTAGCTCAAGTTGTATGGAAAATGTTGTACATCAGAAGACATTTTTCCCTAAATTCTCAAAATTTGTGATCTTCTTTTCCTTGACCAGTAATTTTTGTTTCTGAGTTTCACATAACCTTGAACTGAGTAGGTCTCATCGGCAAAGCCTGCATAAATAACAAGCTGACAGAAGCCCTTAAAGCTTATTCCAGTTTTTTGACCCAAGACTCAATTTCTCAAACTTCAAACTTGGCCACTAAAAAAAAAAAAAAAAAAAAATGTTCCTTGGGCAAAAACAACATGCTACACGGTCCTTGCCAATAACAATATGAAAAGGAGGTTCATTTGATCATTTTCATTGTCGTAAGCAAAGGCTGACAAGGAGACAAATTCAGCCTTGAACATTTTGGCTCGCTACACCCAGCTACAAGGCCTGCCCACATCTGGCCTCACCCTCATGGCACAATTCTGCCCAACAGCCATAAAGCCACGGAGCTCCGTTTGAGTTCTTGGAGGCCAAACCCCACACAGCGTTCTCAGGATGTGGCCCAGGTGATGCAAGTACTAAATACAGGTCCCTCACAACAAAATGTTGGGAACAAAGTCAAACTACTTTTTGAATCATCAAACATGTTCGGTTTCCCTTTTCTTAGCTCTATTTACATAAAACACAAACATTCCAATTTCTCTTCTGAGCCTTTCCAAAAGGGGTAGTTTCCTCTGCAGGGAATACTGCATCCAACTCTACATATTCCCGCCGTTCACCACACAACTGCATGAGATCTCTAGACACATTTGTTGGAAAGATAGAGAATTAGAAAATTTGGTTTCAAGAAAGAAGTTAAGGGCTGTGAAGATGGTTCTATGGTTAACCGCACTAGTTGCTCTTGCTGAGGACCCAGGTTCTGTTCCCAGAACCAATAGGGCAGCTCAAAAGCATCTATAATTCCAGTTCCAAAGGCTCTGACACCCTCTTCTAGCCCCTCCTCTGGTCCTGCTCCCGTCCTCTATAAGCACCAGGCATGCATGTGATGCACATACATACATGCATGCAAAACACTCATACACATTAAAAAAAGAAAGAGGTTAGGAGATGACATAGGTATTAGAACAAATCTCCAAGAATGGAAAGGTAGATATATTTCAACAGGAATCATAAAAAGAGATATTTGAATATCAAATAGCCTAACCTCAGTGGAGGTGGGGGTGGCTTAGAATGACCTAACGCTAACAGAAGTCAGATAAAATGATGCAAACAGGTGGGAGCCTTAAAGCACATTAGAAACATCCCAAAATATGCATAAGAACTAAGAGAAACTTTCTCAGCCCCTCTCTTCCCCTTTTCTAATTCTATCAGAGAAAGAGGTAGTAAATGGTCAGTTTAACAACAGATAAGGAAAACATTTGGGGGAAACAATTATTTCTCATGTAGTGATGTGTAGAATAGAGTCATCTTAGTGGGCAATAATACAACTGAGGGAAAACCATGTCCAAAATTAAGTGCAAACATAATCAAGCTGGTTAATTTCATTGTGTCCCTCTCTGAAAAGAATGAAAACACTTACTTCACATATTTTATACTCACACAGAAATTCCCATACTAAGCAAAATCTATGAGACCTCACTTTGAACCTTCCTCAGCATTCTAAACTTAATCTGCTGAGCTGCTGGATTATTGATTAACTACCAACCCAATAAGCCTCCCTATAGTCCCAGCTGACCAAGCACCTGCTTTGTAGACCAGCTGGCCTCTATCTCATGGAGCTCTCCTGCCTCAGCCTCCAGAGTGCTGATATTAAAGCCATGAGCTATAACACTCGGCGATATTTCTTGATTAGCTGATGCTTCCAAAATATGAACTGCACACTGCCTAAGACATCATTATTGCTGTTCAGGGATTTCTGTAGCTGGGAGAGGGAGAGTCAATCTTCTTTAAGGGTATGGCCCCAGTAGGCCAATGTTGCAGTGGCTGGCCACATACACAAGGGTATATGAATAGCACAAATTGAACTCAATGGGTTTTTTAAAAAGGACACAAAGTTGGGTAGGGAAGGGGGTAGGACTGGGGAGGAAATGGGGGAGAGGGAGTTAATATGGCAAAAATAATTTTTATTAAAGAACTAATAAAACAAAATTTAAATAATTTCTCCAGCCAAAACTTCTTAATGTTTAGAAACTCAGCTACTGCTGCCCTGACTGTGATACATAGCTTTTTCTTTAAAAAGAAGGTCTTCCTAGTTTCTAAAGTCAAGGAGCTCTATTTGAGTGCTTGGAGGTCCAGCCCCAACATGGCTTTCTCAGCCATCAAAGCTTATCTCCCTGTTACTGCCACCATCATGGTCATATCAGCACCAGCAGTACAAAGGGGAGATATTCTTGTCCCATGTATCAATTGTACAGTGTTGGACTCTGAATCTATCCAGGTGAACAGAAAAGTCACAAGATGCTAACCAACCCTATTTCTTTCTTTCTTTCTTTCTTTCTTTATTTATTTATTTACTTACTTACTTACTTAAACAAAAAAGAGATACTTACTTTTCTGTGTTAATTACACACATGCTACTCTTAGTAGAAAGAACCACAAAATACACAAAGATTCCTGATTAAAGAGTTAACCCCTCTCTGGTTCACAACTCAGTATTAACAATAACACAAAATATGTAAACGTGTCACTAGTTGCAAAGAACAGACCTCAGTTCAGTCAGCAATAATATACAAAAGATTATTGAACAATTTGGACCATGTACATCCTGGGCTTTCACCAAGGCTTAAAAAGTCCAGTTTACAGATGTGTAATTGACAAGTATTTCCAGTTACTTATTTGTAAAAGCTTTTCAGTTCCCATAAGATTTTAATAGGAAAAATCAAGTCCAACTCAGTTTATATTTTTGTGTTTATTATAGTATTAGATTGAATTACCTATTTTTCTTATAAAATTTAACAAAGTATATGTCAATTTTTTTCAGATATTTAAAATATATAAAAAGACTTCTTATATGAGAACTCTTCAAATAAATAGATTTATCTACCAAAACCAACTCCTGCCTTAAGAATACCAATCTCTACATTTGGCCAGCTCGTCTGTAAATCCTTATTGAGGATCCTGACAGAATTCTAAGTCACAGAGAACTTTGCTACTTTAAAAAAAAATGATGACATCATCCTAGTTCTGGATGGA